TTCTCCCTTCGGACCTGTACTTCGAGGTAAGGACCTTTCAAAACCACACTCGATGTTCGTAGCTATGTTATTGGGGCATAAGATTTTGTCCTGCGGTGTTCGTTCTAGATTTTCACTAATTAATAAATTCTGCTAATGCAATTTCTGCCTTGTCATTGCAGGAACGTTCTAGTGGGTTCGGTTGTCAACTGCCGTATCAGAATGACTGCCATAGGGTAAGGACCATTGGTTGTATCTGTTGGTACTTTTTATAAGGGCTTCTCTTGTTTTATTGCCGTTTTTTGTGGTTGTAACATCTTTTAATTTTCTAATACTCCCCTTGGCTCCTACAGGCATCGCCACTTCCATGAGATTGCATCATTGGTGCAGATTCAAATGTTCGAATTGGAGCATTAGTCCGCCAAGGCCTTCCATATGCTGGAGTACAGAATAAGCCACTCTAACCATCTTCTTCTATATTGACTTGTATAGTATTTCTCGTCCTCCTGTTCCTGATTAGATATTCTTGACAGGTGAATGGCGTGAGCGCAAAGGAGACTCGGGAGCGATACGGATGCGGAAGCTGTACAGGTACGCGTTTTTTGTACAATGTCTGCATACCTAAATTATATCATTTTTGGAAGACAAGGTTTGTCGGTCGTGGCAGTGGCTATAATATCCTTGGGTCTTATGGGTGCAGGCACGGAGAACGCGAGAACTTGCAGGCAAGCTCTCGCAGCTTTACTCTGAGGAAGCTGGTCCAATATTTCATGTAGGCTTCTCAACTCTCCACTTCATTCTGTGCCCTCTTTTGGGTGTTTGGCATTCTAATTCGCTCTGGTTAAATGCGTAGTTTTGGACACCTCGAGGCGTTGCTTCTTTTGGGGAGGGCATTCCGACTATATCGCGCCATACTATTGTTTCCGCTTTCCRTTAATAATGTAAGTATATCTGACACATCCCTTGTTTAAAGGACTTCCATTTTCTTTTAATTCCTTCGGATAAGTGACTGACTATTTCTCGTACTAATTTGACTGGTGGCTCGACCGCAAATTGGCCGCCATTCAAGATAGGGCTGTCAACGGGTGGGATCCAGGTCCGGTCTAGGTAGAAGCACTCCCGAATACATAATTAATTGGGACAAAACCATAGACCCAAAACCGTCCATTTTAACTTAAAATTTAGGTTGAAACAAAAACATAGGTTTAAAACCGAACCATTTAAGCTAAAAAACACCACTTTTCTTATTTATATCGCAAACTAAAATTTAAACTTTAATCAAATATCGTTAAAAAAATTGACAGAAAAATACTAAGATACTTATATGTTAAAACGTCAGACACTTTTATTTATCTATCTATCTATCAGACTTGACACTTTAAACCTACGATAAAAGAGAAACTGTAAGAAAACGAAGGAAATAATATATATGGTTAACAAAAATATCGGTTTTGGGAATGAATCGATTCGGGAGGGGCGAGTCCCGGAACCGACCCAATTATTTATTTCAGCAAAATCATGGAGCCGGATCCTTTATAAATGGTTCGGTCTATTCGGGCCAGCCGGGTAGACCTGAACCGTTGACAGCCCCKTCAAGAACATGAACGACGATAGTGATTGTGCTGCAGCAAGGTTGGTATCCCTTTTCCTTCTCCCTTCGGACCTGTACTTCGAGGTAAGGACCTTTCGAAACCACACTCGATGTTCGTAGCTATGTTATTGGGGCATAAGATTTTGTCCTGCGATGTTCGTTCTGGATTTTCACTAATTAATAAATTCTGCTAAAGCAATTTCTGCCTTGTCATTGCAGGAACATTCTAGTGGGTTCGGATTGTCAACTACCGTATCAGAATGACTGCCATAGGGTAAGCACCATTGGTTATATCTGTTGATACTTTTTGTAAGGGCTTCTCTTGCTTTATTGCCGTTTTTTGTGGTTGTAACATCTTTTAATTTTCTAATACTCCCCTTGGCTTCTACATGCATCGCCACTTCCATGAGATTGCATCAATGGAGCAGATTCAAATGTTCGAATTGGAGTAGTAGTCCGCTGAGGCCTTGCATATGCTGGAGTCCAGAATAAGCCACTCTAACCCTCTTCTTCTATATTCACTAGTATATTATTCCTCGTTCACCTGTTCCTGATTACATATTCTTGTCAGGTGAAGGGCGTGAGCGCAAAGGAGACTCGGAAGCGATACGGATGCGGAAGCTGTACAGGTATGCGTTTTTTGTACAATGTCTGCATCCCTAAATTATATCATTTTTGGAAGACAATGTTTGTCGGTCGTGGCAGTAGCTATAATATCCTTGGGTCTTATGGGTGCAGGCACGGAAGAATGGTCGACTTGCAGGCAAGCTCTCACGGCTTTACTCTGAGGAAGCTGGTCCAATCTTTCGTGTAAACTTCTCAACTCTCCACTTCATTCTGTTTCCTCTTTTGGGTGTTCGGCTTTCTAAATCGCTCTGGTTAAATGCGTAGTTTTGGACTCCTCGAGGCGTTGCTAGTTTTGGGGAGGGCATTCCGACTATATCGCGCCATACTATTGTTTCCACTTTCCGTTAATAATGTAAGTATATCTGACACATCCGTTGTTTAAAGAACTTCCATTTTCTATTAATTCCTTCGGTTAAGTCACTGACTATTTCTCGACCTGCTTTGACTGGTGGCTCGACCGGAAATTGGCCACCATTCAAGATAGGGCTGTCAACGGGTGGGATCCGGGTCCTGTCTAGGTAGAAGCACTCTCGAATAGATCATTAATTGGGACAAAACCTTAGACCCAAAACTGTCCATTTTAACTTAAAATTTGGGTTGAAACAAAAACATAGGTTTAAAACCGAACCATTTAAGCTAAAAAACACCACTTTTCTTATTTATATCGCAAACTAAAAGTTAAACTTTAATCAAATATCGTTAAAAAAATTGACAGAAAAATACTAAGATACTTATATGTTAAAACGTCAGACACTTTCATTTATCTATCTATCTATCAGACTTGACACTTTAAACCTACGATAAGAGAGAAATTGTAAGAAAATGAAGGAAATAATATATATGGTTAACAAAATAATCGGTTTTGGGAATGAATCGATTCGGGAGGGGCGAGTACCGGAACCGACCAAATTATTTATTTCAGCAAAATAATGGAGTCGGATCCTTTATAAATGGTTCGGTCGATTCGGGCCAGCCGGGTAGACCTGAACCGTTGACAGCCCCTTCAAGAACATGAACGACGATAGCGATTGTGCTGCAGCAAGGTTGGTATCCTTTTTCCTTCTCCCTTCGGACCTGTACTTCGAGGTAAGGACCTTTCAAAACCACACTCGATGTTCGTAGCTATGTTATTGGGGCTTAAGATTTTGTCCTGCGATGTTCGTCCTGGATTTTCACTAATTAATAAATTCTGCTAATGCAATTTCTGCCTTGTCATTGCAGCAACGTTCTAGTGGGTTCGGATTGTCAACTGCCGTATCAGAATGACTGCCAAAGGGTAAGCACCATTGGTTATATCTGTTGGTACTTTTTATAAGGGCTTCTCTTGCTTTATTGCCATTTTTTGTGGTTGTAACATCTTTTAATTTTCTAATACTCCCCTTGGCTTCTACAGGCATCGCCACTTCCATTAGATTGCGTTGTTGGAGCAGATTCAAATGTTCGAATTGGAGCCTTAGTCTGCCGAGGCCTTCCATATGCTGGAGTACAAAATAAGCCACTCTAACCATCTTCTTCTAAATTGACTTGTATACTATTTCTCGTCCTCCTGTTCTTGATTAGATATTTTTGATAGGTGAAGGGCGTGAGCGCAAAGGAGACTCGGAAGCGATACGGATGCGGAASCTGTACAGGTATGCGTTTTTTGTACAATGTCTGCATACCTAAATTACATCATTTTTGGAAGACAAGGTTTGTCGGTCGTGGCAGTGGCTATAATATCCTTGGGTCTTATGGGTGCANGGAGGTCATTCCGACTATATTGCGCCATACTATTGTTTCTGCTTTCCGTTAATAATGTAAGTATATCTGTCACATCCCTTGCWTAGTGGACTTCTATTTTCTTTTAATTTCTTCTGATAAGTGACTGACTATTTCTCATCATCCTTTGACTGGTGGCTCGACCGGAAATTGGCCGCCATTCAAGATAGGGCTGTCAACGGGTGGGATCCGGGTCCGGTCTTGGTAGAAGCGCTCCCGAGTAGATCATTCAGTGGGACAAAACGTTAGACCCAAAACCGTCAATTTTAACTTAAAATTTAGGTTGAAACAAAAACATAGCTTTAAAACCGAACCATTTGAGATAAAAAACACCACTTTTCTTATTTAAATCGCAAACTAAAGTTTAAACTTTAATCATATATCGTTAATTAAATTGATAGAAAAATACTAAGTTACTTATATGTTAAAACGTCAGACCCCTTTATTTATCTATCTATCTATTAGACTCGACACTTTAAACCTATGATAAGAGAGAAACTGTAAGAAAACGAAGGAAATGATATATATGGTTAACAAAGTAATCGGTATTGGGCATGAATCGATTTGGGTGGTGCGAGTACCGGAACCGACCCAATTATTTATTTCAACAGAATCATGGAACCCGATCCTTTATAAATGGGTGGGTCAATTCGGTCCATCCGGATAGACCTGAACCGTTGACAGTCCCTTCAAGAACATGAACGATGATAGCGATTGTGTTGCAGCAAGGTTGGTATCCTTTTTCCTTCTCCTTTCTGTCCTGTAATTAGAGGTAAGGACCTTTAAAAACCGCTCTCGATGTTCGTACCTTTGTTATTGAGGCATAAGATTTCGTCCTGCGAAGTTGGTTTTGGTTTTTCACGAATTWATAAATTCTGCTAATGCAATTTCTGCCTTGTCATTGCAGGAACGTTCTAATGGTTTCGGATTGTCAACTGCCGTATCAGAATGAATGCCATAGGGTCAGCCACCATTGGTTATATCTGTTGGTACTTTTTATAAGGGCTTATCTTGCTTTATTGCCATTTTTTGTGGTTGTAACATCTTTTAATTTTATAATACTCCTCTTGGCTTCTACAGGCATCGCCACTTCCATGAGATTGCGTCAATGGAGCAGATTCAAAAGTTCGAATTGGAGAAGTAGTCCGCTGAGGCCTTGCATACGCTGGAGTCCAGAATAAGCCACTCTAACCCTCTTTCGGATAAGTGAGTGACTATTTCTCGACCTGCTTTGACTGGTGGCTCGAMYGGAAATKGGCCGCCATTCAAGATAGGGCTGTMAACKGGTGGGATCCGGGTCCGGTCTAGGTAGAAGCACTCCCGAATAGATCATTAATTGGGACAAAACCTTAGACCAAAAACCCTCCATTTTAACATAAAATTTAGGTTGGAAAAAAAACCTAGGTTCAAAACCGGACCATTTAAGCTAAAAAACACCACTTTTCTTATTTATATCGCAAACTAAAATTTCAACTTTAAACATATAT